GGCCTAACCCACCAGAGAGGACGTCCTGAGCATGCTCTATAGCCGGCCTAACCCACCGCGCTACATCCACGCTTTGTGACCACACTTCTATTTTTAATAAGAGGTACTCAAGGGTGAGTAACTCTTCAAAATAACCGAACTAAAACTAAATGCTTTTGTGAAAACAACTAACTAAATTCATGATTAAAAAACCGAACTAATAAAAATTTTATAAAATGTAAATCATACCTTACAGTATATAGATCAACACACAACAACAAAGACGAACATCCAAAGACAAAATGATCCCATTACTCTCGAACAAGAATGGTTAACCACAACCGATATGCCGTCCACAATCACAACTCAAAGGATTTAGAGTACGACTTGACTTCGCAGAAAAGGACTTCATTGAACTAGACCAATGACCACCTCGATGTTCAAGTATACGTACAGATCCGAGTTACAAGGCATCCCCTCCACGCACAATCTCCACGCCATTCCCAGACGAGGTTGAACACAAAACAAGTTCTCTACATAATACAGAAAAACCCGTCATAGCAAACCATTTTGAAATCAGATTGATTTCATTGGGAAACACAGTCGTTGTCACAAGACGACACAACGATTGATGTCCCTAACTCCAGCATCCTGGAACTTCTCTAACAAGAGGAACCGGACAAGAATATGATGTTCGCCAAATACCAACGTTTATCATCCATCCTTTGAATTGCAGAAAGATAATTCTAAAAAACTCTGCAAAACCCGGATGGGCGGAACCTGATCTACACTATATTTTATGATTGGATAAATTAGATTTTTTACCACTGTAAAGTATTTAATATTAACCAATCATGATCCATCTAACTAACAACCCACTTATTTGTAAGTGCTGAAATTACTTGTAATTTCAGCACCAGAGAGATTTGAATTTAACTTAGAAATTAGTTGTCTCTCCAAGAGAACTTCAGCAGCCGCAACAAACCAGTATACCCTAGATCTATTGAGCCTAGCAGAGACTAGTTAAGCACCCTGAGACTAGAAAGTATAAGAGTAAGATTAGGATCGGTATTAGACAAAGAAGTTGCACGAATCTATCCGGCCGAAAATAAGATGGCGTGACGAGCAGACGGTGTACCCTATCCGAAATTACTCTATGAGTTAACCACATCTGTCCTAACTCAATATTGAGGGCAAACATCGTGTAAAAACAGTTATTCGTTTACTGCCTTAACCGTTCAAATACCCGCAAAAATGCCTTTATTTTGTTTTATTTGCTTGCGATAAGTTCACTGTCTAGATCAGATTCGTCTCTGTGTTATTCACCCATGATATTGACACAGAAAGCAGAAAACAAGTTTGCCAACGCTTATTGAAATTTACATTATCATAAGTAATCAAATTGAGCTGAAATAAGAAAAATGAAACTTAAATTTTTACGATAACTAAGAGAATAAAATAACAAAAAACTATAAAATATCAAAAAACTAGGAGAACAAAACAATAACAAAAACTATCAGCTCTAATTTCAAGTAAATCGATATCGACAGCCTAGCGGGCTTCATGCGTGCTTCTTAATATAAGCCATTCAAATATATCAAATCAATGCGGGCCACATGCGTTTGAGCGTTAATTGCAAATGCGACAAAAAACTGTTCTAATAGCGCTCAGAAGAAATTTAGATCACTGTCAAACAAAACTAAGTTCGATAAAATTACAACGACCAAAGCTGCGCAATTTCATAGAACCAAATTGATCAGACTTCGAAAATAGATAGATACAAACCAAAAGCGAAAAAATAATAATTTAAGAAACGAAGTACTAATAAAGCCCACCACAAAAAAAAACTTGACCAAAAATTCATAACAAGAAAACACATCGTGATGCTACCCAAGTTGTACAACAAAACGCTTCAAAAATATTAAATGAACGATGTTTTACTTCTCAGTGGCCCACCAGGATTAGATTTTTAGGTTTTTTTATAATAAAAACCGTCAAAACTCAAACAACTCAAAAATTTGATGACGAAAGTATGCTCCCTAACTTGGATAAATTTATAATTAAGTGAGCAAAAATTAAAGAAATCAAGCAATTATAGGCGGAAAATTGATTAAGAAATACGAAGACTGGCAAAAAATTGAGTCCATAGAAAAAGCATATTTATAAAAATTTTACTCATGATTTTTGAATAACCAGCTTTTTTCCATAGAAAAAAACTCAAAAATCTACTGAAAAACCTTTGCGTTTTTAAAGTAATTTTAATGGGCTCAAAAACGAGCATTTTACAAACAGTTTCAATTATATGTCGCATCGAAGAATGACATATTATACAGCTTTTGCTATTCAAAATTGTATAATGAGCATTATTTAATTACAAAAAATTTTGAATTGGACAAAAAACGTTTCGCCCTCACTCCAGTCGCTAACTTAATTTTTGTTCAAGCAAGCACTTAACAGAGAAAAAAATAGCTATGAAAATTTCAAAACTTGTTTTTACGTCGCCGAAACACAAAAGAATTAACATTTTCACAGTAAAAAGTTAGTTTTCAAAACAGCTCTATTGTTCCAACTCTCGAGTGAATTGTTGACATATTTGTTTTTGGGCGTTTTTTTTCTCCAGACAAGTTTTGATCTTTTTTTATCAAATTTCAACCTATTTTTTTCTTTAAGTCTGAATTTTTGATAACCGATTCTTATTGAACAAGTGTTCACATTTGATTAATTTTTGCAAGTTTGAGATTTGGTGTTTTGGGTGGCTTGTGAATTCAGTTCAAGTTTGGATAAGTAAGGGGCGGTATCTTTTATCTGATTAAAGCGTAAGCAGTCAACTAAACCATTCAGAATTGATGTGAGTCAAACGTTTGGTCTTAACTAATATGGTAGCGCACGCAAAAGATATCAAATTCATATAGAGTGCGGGGATGAAAGTTAAGACATAAAAATTTCAAAAAAATTCATCAATCAAAACTGATTGACAAAAGAGGGTAGTTTGAGTATTCAAGCCTCTTCCTGATTCGAGTAGTTTTAATATTTATTGTTTTTAGGTAATAACCTGAACCTACATCTGCGCGAAAGATAGGACACGATTTTTAATCACTTAGGTTTTTGAAATAGAGATTTCCCAGCTATTTAGCAATTTTTAGACTATAAAACACCTGAAAATCTTCTACAGTTTAACTTACTTAGCGTATTTCGAAATAAAAATGTTTAATCTGCCATAAAAGTGCCGTTTAACTGTTTAACTAAGTTTCTTTTTTAGACTGTTCTCGGTTGTTTTTTTAAATGCATGCACAAAAATAAAAAATTGCTTGCTCATACCATTTTTTTTATCGAAACTTGCTAAGTATGGCTGACTTGTATGGAACTTGCACGATTACCCTTTTCACACCAGGGTTTGAATCCAATCAAATTATGAATCTCTTTAACTATTCCGCAATGACAAAATGGATTAGGATTTAAATGGACAAAACGGATTTAAATTGATCGTAAATCCCAGCCAAAAAATTGATCAAAATCGATTTTGAATCAATTTAAATTTTTTTTTCCAATCTTAATTTGTTGTTTTTTTAAGGGGATTAAAACGGATTTAAATAGATTTAAATCCATTTTTTTTATTCAAGATTCATCAGTTTCAAATTTTTATTGCATTTAATCATTGCCTATAATTATTTATTTTACATCCACGGCATAAAAAAGACCAAATAAAAAGACCAAAATGTCGAAAAATTTTTTTGATTTGCTTGCATATTTTGAGTTCAAAATCTTATCTATATTGACCCTTTTCTTGATTCGTTTCATAAATTTTTGCTCAAAATCTGATTTACATTCATGGTTTTCAACGATTTAATTGCATTTTTTTGAGATTAAATGTTAATTTATTCTGACCATTTTCTTGTTTGTTACATAGGATTTTACCCATAATCTGATTTACAATGGTTTTTTATGAATTCAATGCATTTTTTTGAGCTTGAAATCTGATTTATGTTTATCAATTTATTTAAGTCTACAACATCTGGCACGTGTGTTTTTATTTAAAAAATCGAAAATAAAATATTTCAATTTTTTCAGAAGAGTATGTTTTTTGCCGTGTTAGCAAATCGATTTAATTCGTTCTTCAAGGCACTTAAATCGATCCAAAAAATTTCTAGAAAGATCGATGTAATTCGATTTAAAATGGATTTAATTGAGATTCGGATGGATTTAATTGAGTTTCAGATGCAGGCTCTTTTCCAATCCCCCCCCCCCACATTTCAAAATATCGAGTTTTATGTTTGTTTTTCGTGTTATTACGACTAAATGCGTGAAGTTACGATGTAAATTATTAAGAACAAATCTGTTCACAGTTGTCGATTTGTTCACCATTTTAAATTTCATAGCATTATGACAATTTTAAATACGCTTTTCAAAATTAAATTTAAAAGAGGGGGAGGAAACTGGAAAAGAGCCCAGATGCATTTTAGTGAGTCGGAAAATCCATCCAAATCAATTTTTTAGACACTTGAATTGATCTAAAATGTTCAAAAAAGATGAATTTAAATCGATTTAAGATCCATTTAAGTTCGTAAATTGCACATTGTTAATCAATTTGGATCGATTTGGAACCAATTTAAATCGATCCGAAACAATTTTTTTCAGTGCTGGATACCACCTAGGGTACCTACTAACGAATTGTCACCCCTATAATGATTGATTCAATGGTTAAGCATGAGTGAAATTTGCACCTAGTATCGAATCTCCCCCTTTTTGCAAAAGGAGGGGGAAATAGTGGAAGAGATCCCAGATTATTTCAACTCATTTTGAAGTTCAAATTTTTTTGGCCTCCAAAGCAAAACGTTGATAACAGAAACGATAATTTAGTGCGCATTTATGATCAGAAACTGGCCATTTTAAAATTATTAACGTTTTTTCCAAACGATATCGACTTAATTTATGAATTTTTTTTGTTCAATCCCGGAATCAGCCATTTTTTCTCATTATGCTCTGAAACTTGTTGAAGAAAATTTCAATTTCAACAACTCGTTAATTAATATATGTTATAATTTTGAAAAGGGAAGATTTCTGATATATTCAAAACTTTTCCTGCGATCCATGTTCAGTGCTTTTGTCCCAAATAACTTCCACGTCATTCAAAAACGACAGCTTAGTCGTCACATTCGCCTTCGTTCGGACATCTCCCAACATTACGTCATCGCTATTGTCGCCTGTCGGGTTGTTGTGAACTTTGACTATTGTAGTTATTCTGGCATTATTTGGCTGGCTTATTGAGGAAAGAATGTCAGAGCCGAAGTATGCTTCTATTTTTTCCCGAACTGCCTCAGTTTCTAATCGCTTCTGAAAAACAGAATTGTTTGTTGGACGCAAAATTCAGTATTTTTACTTGAAAAACAGCTTAATATTAAGATAACTTCCAAGAATCATTTAAAAATAAGGTAATGTTTAATAGCGACAAACAAAAGCTAAGCTAGCTCAGTTAGTTATTCAAAGTATAGTAGAAAAAAGCTTCGAAATGAAAGTTGCACGGAGCCGACCGACGATTCTAAATCTTCACTTTTTTCCTTGGTTTCAAAACTTTCGGCCCGGTTTAACCAAAAGGTCCCCCTTTGGTAGCAAGTTTATGACATCTATTTTTGCTGATGACACTTTAAATTTTTCTAGAAGTGCCTTCGGTGTCATTATAAACTAATTTTGAGAGAGGAGAGCACGATAAAAAATATGGTCAGAGCTTTCCAAAAATAGCGTCAAAATAACGTTTTGGCGTGTTTTTTTTTACTTCTGCTTGCAGCGGAGAAATTTGCGGTTTCCTGCAAAAAATGACAAAAATTTCCGAAAAAATTGTGAACCCTCACCACCCCGATCCCCCGTCCCCCTCTAAAAAATCCTAGATTAGCGCCTGCTTCTTTGGAATTAATGATAAGCATTTTTCAAATATGGAGGTGAGCCCAGCAGGTACGCAAACAAATATGCAAACCTGATTAAGTGTGTCAGCATTACTTTTCACTGCCACTTGCAACCCTTCAATCATGTTCCGAGTCTGAGAGTGTTCGGCACTGGAGGTGGAAGGAACCATCAGCGAATGCGCATCATCCCCTTCTATATTTGGAGATAAATTGATAGCTGTGATGTTCGTTTTCGAAATATTATTATCATGATTATTATGTTTAGTCTTCCTCGAACCCATCTCCAATTTCTCCACGTTTAAAGTTGTGTTATATTTAGAACCCGCATTTGTAGAATGGACAACAGTTCCACAGGGAGTAGGGTTGTTTTTTCTTGTGTTATTTCGGGGAGATGGTGATTGTTTTGCGGGGAGTTTCGTGTTCGGAGGTGGGCTTTTGGCGCTTCGAGTAAGGTTGGGTTTTTTCTTGTTGTTCGAGGCTACGCTGAATCTTTGTCGTTGAGTCATGTCGACTTTCTTAAACTGGACCAACTAAAAAAAATCTCCAGGTGAAAATTTATTCCGAATTTGGACCAGTACTTAGAAAGAATCAAAGAAATTATTGTATTTTTTGTGAACAGTGAACAAGCAATTTAGCGCGTGCAAAATGACTTAGAAAGCAGACAAGTTTCAGGCCAGAAATTTTAAAATTTACACAAAATTTGTGTGTGCAAAGCGGTGAACTAGCTTACCAAAGATAATGTTTTCAGTTTAATAGCAGTAGACAAAAAATGAACTCTGAAATTAAAACATTTTGAAAATGATATTTCTCGAATAAAATGTGTTTTTTTTTCTGGAATGCATGTGCGACAGACATAAAAAAACATTATTTTAATTATGTACATATAAGTGCTGAAAATATTTATTGGAGTTCATTTTTCAAACATATTTCAACAACTCGGTGGCCGCCGCATATGTGGAGTTTGAAGTGCAGTATAGAGAAGCAGTTAATTCAAATCAATAAGCATAACTTACATGATCATTAGACCAGTTGTTTTGATAGTGCAACTACAAAATAAACTAAAAACGGTCATCTAAAACTATTTTGAAATGATAACATTGAATCGCATAATTGATGAATAGTGCTACAATATAAACAAAGAGGACGAGGAGCAGGTTCCAGGTTCAGGAGTTTTTTTTCTGGTGGAATGAGTGGATTGTTACAAACTATTAGGGACGGTCGAACAAAACGGGATGTCGAAAAATAGTACCAAAGGGGACCTTTGTCGGATGTGTCTTCCTAATAACCCGAGAAAAATTTGGAGGGAGTTTTTTTGGGGAGGGGGAGAAGGTGGGTTGTGATGGTTGTCGAATTTCGCTAAATCCACCCCCTGATTGGTGCACACCTATTGCAAACCTATTTAAAAAATCGTGCTTTAGTGTGACGTTGATTTTACATATCTGATACATAGACGGGAACTGAAGGTCATATTGCTAAAGGTCAGACGTGAACTAAAGGTCATATTGCTAGAAAAAGAGTATGTCGATAACTCATGTAGGAAGCATAAAACACAATGGTTTGTACCAGGGCAAAACTCTGAATGTTCAGACGGTCCTTTACTAAGTCAAGTGAAGTAAATTTAGGATTCTTCATGATTCGATCATAATTTTTTGTTCCGATATCTGAAAACGGGGAGGAATTTGTGTCTACTGGTGTTTTGTAGTTTTTTTTCTATTTTTTGTTTTACTTGCATGTCTGGTATCACAAAAAACCATCAAAATTGCAAACCTATTTAAAAAATCGTGCTTTAGTGTGACGTTGATTTTACATATCTGATACATAGACGGGAACTGAAGGTCATATTGCTAAAGGTCAGACGTGAACTAAAGGTCATATTGCTAGAAAAAGAGTATGTCGATAACTCATGTAGGAAGCATAAAACACAAGGGTTTGTACCAGGGCAAAACTCTGAATGTTCAGACGGTCCTTTACTAAGTCAAGTGAAGTAAATTTAGGATTCTTCATGATTCGATCATATTTTTTTGTTCCGATATATGAAAACGGGGAGGAGTTTGTGTCTACTGGTGTTTTGTAGTTTTTTCTTCTTTTTTCTATTTTTTGTTTAACATGCATGTCTGGTATCACAAAAAACCATCGAAATTGGTCGACTGTAAAGTCATATTCAAGACCTTTCAGTCATTATTTGATGGACAATAAAAATGTCCAAAAGATATTTCTTTGTTGAGAAAAACCGGCTTACATATTTCTACTTTTAGTTTAAATTTGAGCAAAAAAACGCAAGTCAACAGGCTTTTTATTGAAGGATAAACTATTTCACTTTTAGTCAAACTATTAAAATTAGCTTTTGACGTTCTTTTCAGCGATATTTTGAGGGTAAAAATTTCAAGAATTCAAAAAAACCTGCAAAAAATGTGAAAAAGTTTTAGACAAACAAGATTTTAAATTATTTTGTTTCTCTTGTCCTTTTTTAGAAAAAATGTTGTCTAATATGTCTATTTTACTATCTATTTTACTTCTATTGTACTTTTGAAAAAAAAGTCGGAATCTTCTGTGATACTTGCGCAGTGACCCTCTATTCCTATTTGTAACTAAATCTCGAAATATGTTCACAAGATATTCACTTTTTCAGTGGATACAAAAATCTCAGACATTAACAAATGAAAGCAAGGCTGTCCATGCCAGGGCAGATTCCTGAATTTTTATACTGCCCCTGAAGTAAATTTTTTCCATCTAAAACAATCGATAAAAAAATTAACTTTATACTGTTTATAAAAATTTTCAAAAACCATATCCTTACAAAAATTGATTTCTAAGGTGAATATCTTTTCAAGTTTGAGCTCAAGGCGTCAAACAGTTTCCTGGGTTGAAATTCCACCGTTAATTATCGTTTTTCAGTAGTATCCCAGTGATCGCTTTTTTCCAGCGCTTATTCGTGTATAAATCAGAGTATTTAAAGCAGCTTTCAAATGAGTGTTTAGGTTTATAAGCCCTTTAATTTACGTACATCCAAGTGTTTGTGACGCAAAGGTAGCATACATGTCTACAAAGCTGTTGGTTGAGTGATCGAACAATGGTATGTCGCTATTTTTGCTCATTTTGATAGGATTTTCACCTCACTTGGATTTACAAAAAATGGTCGCAGACAAATTATATTTAAGTTTTTGAATCGGAACACTCTTTGCTTTCACATTAAATGAAAAAATCCCGTCCAAATAGCCTTGTTGAAAAATCAATACTTACTTGGAAAAAATCAACCCACAAAGTCGATAGTCGGTTCAAAAAATCTCAATCTCTCTACAAAAATGTTTGGAGAATAGTAGAAACTATCATGAAAACAAACATTGGATAATTGTCTGCATAATAGAACTAAGAAAATAAACTATAAGAAACTTTTGAGGTGCAAGCAACTACTAATGATTACAAATTTCAGAGAAATGGACATTTTAGTGGTGTAAACATTTCAGCTGAATTTTCAACTTTCACTGAAATTGAGGGGATATCGATTTAAAATTGCGCTCAATTCAGCAGAAAAAAACTGTGATTCGTATCTTTTAAAATTTCACTTTTTCAATTTCATTTTTTATATTAAAGACGTACTTCAATACCTGTTCTGATTTTACTTAAAGAAACATTTTAAAAAAATTCTAAATTTCAATTCCTATTTTACAAAAAAAAACATTTTTACTAAAAAACAAAAAAATTTGTATTTCTCGTCCTGTTTTACGAAAAGAGACGCGACAGCTATTATGAAAAAAACGGGTATTTTTCTTTTGCCATTTTACAAAAAAATAAGGTAAGCCAGGACTGACCTTGGGAACGAATACCAAACATAGTGTGATTGTAGTTGCAAATAGAATGAGAGTGGAGACTAGAATGAAGCTGTGATCTGCATCTTCGATTACACTCGTCACACCAATGCTCACAAGACAGACGAGCATGACGACGTAGACATTGATGCCTATGTATTTTGAGTCGTTCAGGGCGGGGATGGTGACTGACCTAGTTTCCCACGCCAGGAAACAGCCGAACAGCTGAAACGAAACAACTTTCGATTGCTCTTCATAAAATGACTTAGCTCAGATCTAGCTTGGCACATTAAAGGGTACGCAGGTCCTGAAAAACCTATGAGAAAAAAATATCTGAAATAAAAAATGAACAGCTGATACAACATTTGATTGCTTTTAGATAATATGGCGACATGAAGGAAGTTGTACTGGTCCAGAAGTACTTTTACACGGGCTTCTCCCAGAAAAAGGCCGAATACTTGAACTGAAACAACCTACGAGTTTTTTTTGTTTTGAAAAAAAAACGGGGATTGCATATGCTTGGGATGGTTTTTTTTATTCAGACCATTTTTTCAAAAAAAAAGTCTGAGGACCAATCCAAAAATATTTTGATTGCCATGATAGTATGCTATTTAGGAGGAATTCTTGGTCCAGAAGAACATTTAAACGGGTCTTACCAGGAGAAAAAAAAGAACCGAATAACTGAAATTAGAAATAACAATTGAAAAGTTGAAACAACGCGGGCTATTCACTTGACAAAAAAAAACTGAATGATCGGAATCTCCATCCAATCAATATTTTTAGTCAGTTCAAATGTGACAGATTTTCTTGGCTTATTTTTTCCGAATCTTAAAATGGTTCAGTTTGTTTGGCCCACATTTATTTTGGGGCATTCGGTCGTAATGGCATTGTCACGAAAATTGAATTTTTTCCTATTACATTTTCATTTTCTTGATCTTTATTTCATTTTGGGGCATTCGGTCGTAGTGGCATTGTCACGAAAATTGAATTTTTTCCTATTACATTTTCATTTTCTTGATCTTTATTACCCTTATTTTTGAATACAGATTGAATTTTTCTTTAGTAGCAATTTGAATGCAATAATCAAACAAATTCGGTGCTTGATGGCTTGAGAGAGATTCGCTTTCTGCCGCTTAAAATTCAACAGGAAATAATTGGGGTTCACATTAAATTCAATTCAGTATTACCATTTTGAAAACCCGTTCTTAAATTTTTTGTTTTAACCATAGGGAAAATAATTTAGCTTCAATTATAACCCTTTTCCTTTTTATTTTCAGAATTTATCATCTCCCATTGCTCTTCCAACCCGAAAACCGTTCTTTTGTTCTAATTTTGACTGTTCTACTCGGCAAACTCTGATTGATTCCCAAATCTGAAAATATATACAAATAGGAAGTTACAAGGGACATATATACAAAACAAAAAACAAGAATGCAACAGAAATATGAATACACTTAAAAATCTAACTATGTTGACCAAATAAATAAGATTTGTTTGCAACAATACTTCATAGGTTTGATGGATAACTTCAAAAAACGCCTCAGAATAATCTCTTCATTTTTAGTCAGCATTATGATTGTTACGCCAAAATGTTTCGGAAAATAATATATATTTTTTTTTACAAATATCTCATAGTACTGGTTTAGAAGTATCATCCCGTTCAAAACCTTGTTTATACGGAGGTCCTGTAGAGCTGCCATAGAAAATTTTTTAAATTAGTTTTTAAGTTTTGCCAGTGAATTATTATTTTAAATAACTTCATTTAAAAAAAAACGTTAGTGCCAAATCTTAAGAAGAAGTTTTGCGAATTTTCCTTTTGTTTTCATCTACTTGAAATAGTTCAAATAAATTTCGAGTGATTTGGCGGGACCACACTTCTTAACGAGCTTTCAAATGGGACTCACCAAAAACTGCGGGACTCATTAAAAACTGATGAACAAGTACCATCGTTTTTTTCTGGTTCTTACAAACTGTTTGCTATTAGAAATTCCGCCTCACATAGCAAACTCTCTCTCAAATCACAATAAAGAAAATTAGACTAATTTTTTGTAGTTTTTTTTGTTTGTGTTGATTACTTTTGTTTAATGTGATGACTACTAACCATGGTGAGTCCCTTGTATCCGTAGAGTAGTGCGAGCCACTTGGCCATGTGTGTACAATAGCACCCGTCCGAGAACAGCACCTGCTCCTCGTCCGCCGAGATAGACTAGAACACAGCAAACCGAAAATTTAACAGCGAATAACGGAAGAAAAGCCGCATATTTTATCATTTACATCATGTTAAAATTAGGCCACTCTGAAGGTTCTACTGTTTCGAATAACGGTTGTTGTGCCGCCGCGCAGCAGTATTTCTTAGCCATATATACGTATAAACATCGTCTTATGATATCTGTTCTGGTTTTTCAGAATTAACACAAAATCATATTAAAGCAAAAGATTTCACATGGATTAAGTTATTAACTAAGATCGATTTTTTTTCGCAAAGGGAATGGACCAAGGTGTGCCTTTTAAAACGTTTTAGGCAGGTTTTGGAGTTTGATTTAAAAAATTACGTTTTTTCGGCGAGCGCTCCACTCTCAAAAATAGTATCTTGTGGCGCCAAAGTCTCGTTTATAAAAAGTTTAGAGTGGTCAGTTGAAAAGTGAAGTCTTAGAAAAGTACCAAAGGGGGACTTTGGATCATGGGCAGAGGTTCTAATCCCCGCTACTGTATAAATTCCTTGTCATGAACTTAAAATCGTCACTCAATTCAATAAAAAAAGTTTTGGATGCGCGAGAAGACGAGGGTTTTTTTCTGAGTTCTCCACTTTTCAGCCTACCATATTCTAATTTTATTTTATAAAACAAACTATAACACTACATCTACTATCCTAGTAGACTTAATTCATACTTTTGGGAAAATTAGAAGAAGATCCAATAATTAGTATCTTTCAATCATTTCATTGTTTTTGCAAAAATATTTTTTACAAAAAGCAATTGTCTCAAAGCGTGGGGGGTCAATAGAATTATAAATTTGGCTTTCTTATAAACTTTAGGGGAAAACTAACAGAAGATTCAATAATTAGTATCTTTCAATCATTGTTTTTGCAAAAATTTTACAAAAATTCGATTGCCTCAGAACATTGGGGGCCATAAGAACTTCAAATTGGCTCCCTTTTCACAAAAAGCATAATTGAAAATAGGTGAAAATCCCAAACTCATTTGGTTGTATCTACATCACCCTATAAAACTAATGGGTATAATGATAATTTAATAACAGCGCGAAAAAATGACTTCAAACTTACAATATAATTGGACTGATTTTGTAGTTGTAAAAGATACTACACATGTTTTGATCAAATCTATTTAACAACTCAGGTTTAAAAGACAATTATGTTAACAATTAAAAAAAATTTACAGATTCACTATAAGCGAGTCTCAAAAAAAGCTAGATAAAATTATTTAGTTTAAATTAACTTTCAAGTAGTATTATGATACCAAAATTATATTGATTACCTAGCAAAAAGCGATAATTTTTGGTGTCCGTTTTCGGTTTTTGTATCAAAAGATAAAACTTAATAACAATTGTTTTCATTGCAAAATGAATCAAACTAGCAACAAATTTCCATTTTCAATCCAAAAAAAGACATAACTGTTCGATTGTTCCGACTGTCGATTAAAGTCTAGGGAATAAGTCATATTATGAGAAGTTTAAAAAAACTTCAGAGCAAAAAACTCAAAAGCTCAAAGCATAAAAATTCACAAACATAAATGAAAAAAAAAACAGAACTTTTTTCTATAAAATATTGCCCCCACAAGGTGTAAAAATTCCACATACTGCCTCAAAGTAAGGAAAAACCGGGGTTAAATTGACGCTTGCGGTTTGATGGAACGTCTTTATTTAGTCAAATTAAAAACTTTCAGACCGCCAAGACCTATTATAAAGAAATGATCAAAGCCGAAAAAACTTTAACTTTTTTGAGCTCAGCACATCAAAACATTTCAAATGGTGATCCTTAAACTCCATTTAAAAAAGCTAGAAAAACGAAGTAAAATTGTATGAATGAAAAACTACTCTGAGCATAAATATTCTAATTTTTCTTTGAAAGTCGGAACACCAGAGAGGGTAAAGACCAGGAGAAGCACTTAGTACAATTGAAAGGCGATCACCTCTAGAGCGTCAGATCATTTAATGGATCCCCTGGTATGGCATTGATTGTGTGTGAGTACGAGCTCTCAAATGACTTCTAGCTTCAGGTCTACCACAGCCTGATTGATTTAGTTCTACTAGTAGTACCACGTGAAATTATATTACAGACGGCCATGTGTAGCAACAAATGCGCTTTGCTCAGCACAAATAATTTTTGCCTGGATAGCTTTCATAGATTATCTGCAAACCGCATAAACCTGATTTTTTAAAACAACTCGGCACTGGCGGCTAAAAGTTTTTGTTGCAAACTTATTCAAAATGATATTTATGACCAGATAAAATGAGTCGTTGATCAAATGTTGATTTTAAATAGACTTTTTGATGAAAAATAATGATTGAAAATGATTAACAAATCTAAGTTTTTTCAGTGCTTCATGTAAATACTGAAGTCTGATTGAAATTGATAAACTCCAATGGAAAACTTTGTTACTGAATTTTCCTATCAGCCTTTTTTGGATGGTAAATTATTAAGTGGTCCAAATTTTCCTCACGAGACCCAACTCTGATAGATCTTTTTATTTTTTATTAGAGATTGCCAGTTTTATCTCCAAAATGATAGTAGGCGCGCAATGCTTTTTCGTCTATTCTTTCTAATTTCATGTGCTGAATTGAATGGTTCGATATCAATTGTTTGTAACTAGTTACAAACAAATGACGATTAAAGTTTGTTTTTACATGATTTTAGATAAATCATTTTTCTTCTTCTAATTCTTAAAAAGATAAAATTTAACTAAAGAAAGTGCTATCCCTGCGCTTTTCTAAATTTTAAATTTGTCATACAATCCATGTGTGGAATTATATGACTGCTTTTTCGTTTTTTCCGCCCATTCTCCCTGAAATTTAGTTCATTTGGACGCGCTGTTTTTTAATCTTCTAAAATTGGTTGGCCGATAAAACTTCTGAATTAAACCCAAATAGAGACTATTTTGGCGACGAAGAGGGGATTTCTTAAATAGGAGGCCTCAAGTTCACCCTTTGGTGCAACTTTACTTTTTACATCAATACTCGTAAACCCGCCTGATTTTTCCAAATTAATTATCTTGAATTTGATTGGTTGAAATGTTTGACCAACCAGAGTGGCGAATTGGGTGCGTTTGATTGTCATTGGGTCGAGTAGTTGCCAACTGATTAGTAAAAGAATGTCGATGAAGAGGAAAAACACAATCACCACAAATAACTGGTAATCCTTGATCACCTAAATGAACAAATAAACATTCATAGTTCTCTAAAATATTTTGGGTCGAACGGAAAAATTTTCGGGTTTGAGGTGCTGCTGTGCATTACTACATCATATGTTTCGTTAATCCATTAAATTTTAACAAGTAATTTTAATGTGTATTTCAAATTGAATCAAAATAATCCAGATTCAAATGAAATTTGTAATTTTCGTGTGAAAAAAATAAACGTTTTCACTTTTGTTTAAAATACTTTGAACCCATAATCACGTTTTTCAAGGTTTTTTTTTGGCCCGGTTCAAACTTGACTCGCTTACTTTCTTTTTCATTTTGACGTTTGTGAAAATCTGATGCACTCTCCATGTCTTACTGAACATTGAGCCATAAGACAGAGTAAAAGCTGTAGTCAGGAACCACGCTCGAATCTGAAACAATGAAAAGTAATTGAAATATTTTTTTTTCCAAAAAAGCAATACTTTTGGAGATAAAATTGGCAATCTTTATTAAAATTAAAAATGTATAAAATTGAAACAAAATTTTTCAAAAAAATTTAGTAAAATGTAAATTATTAAAATAAAAATTTTTAAAAAGAAAAATATATTTGGCAATCAATTTTTTTTTTACAAATTACAGATTTTTACAAGAAGGCATCTAATATATTATGAGCAGATTTAGGGTTGAAAACTCAAATATGGCTCTTGAGATATTCAATTTCTTTCTTCAGCTTGGAGTTAATTTATCAAATAGTCGTGGAAATCTGAAGATTTTAAGGAATTTTTCATTTAAAAAAAGAAAGAACTTTTTATGGGTTGTATAGGTCCAAATCAATTCTCTATGTTTTTCTGCACCAACCCAAATAATTTTTTTGAAAAGTACTTTGAAATGACTCTGATACGGTCACTTTGCAACCGTAAGCGTTATTAAAAAGAAGCTTTTTCCTCAAAATAGAAACTTAGATCAAAATGTAACATAATATATTAGTAACCAATCTAGTTCTTGATTTTTGATGCAAATCAAATACACTCTCGACATCAAGTTGCTTGTTTAATTTGCGTAATTACCCGGGGAACTTCAATCAAGGCAAAGTTTAATATCAAAAGTACTGCGAAATTCGGGAAAGGTTTTTCAAGAGATCAGAAAGAGAAATTAAATATTCGATATTGGAGTTTTTAATAAAAAAAAAGAAAAATAATTGATTTTTAGATCACGGGAACGGTGGGCAAAATTTAGTTCTCTGTCTCAAAAATTTAATTAAGCCTCCATGGGTCATGCCTGTTGACGTAGCTGGTGAAAAATTTCCGAAAAAAAGAGATAGGTGGAAAATAAAGTTATTATTAGGTTTCAAGGTTTATAGGTTTTATCTTAACTTCTTTTTGCGAATCAAAGAATATTTAGATTAGAAAAGCGGAATCGGGAATCGGTTGAAAAATAAGATTAGCCGGCTGTTTTTATGAAAACATTTTCAAAATAACTAATAAAGTTTCATTTTTTTTGAATTTCTGAATTTGTAATAACTTTCCAGCAAATGGTTTTTCAAAAAAGTCGGAGAAGATTTCACTAAAATAATAGTTCCGGAGCCTGAACTGATTATGACAAAAATATTGCTGGAGTTGCATTAGAAGTAGTCAAATTGATTTGTATGAATGATTAAACAGCTCTTCTATAATTTTTACTCAAATAGTCTACTTTGACCTCTAAGTTTTTATTTTTATTCAGCTCCAAAAAAAAAATTAGTACTCAGTTTGTTTTAGAAACGGAACTCTTAGCCGATATTTTTTGTCTCCTGACTTGACCAATAATTTCAAAATTACCAAGTCGCAACCTTCGAGATTTCATGGAATGAAAACCGAACATTCAATATTTTTTTGCAGATCATAAAAAATTTAAAAACGTCCATAAAAAACAAAAAAATTTTACTCTTCCATATATGGGTTGCCTGGGTAAAATCTAATCATACAATTTTTGTATATGGAATACTATGACTCGCATTTCTCTTTCAATTTAAAAAAAAAAGAAACAATTCAAAATGTTACATTGCCTCAAAAACTTAATAGTATTTCCTATTCACGACATCAGCCTACTAAATTAAAAATTTCCGAAACTCTTCATTTATAAAGTGGTTCAAATGCTCAAAAACTCAAAAAACGCCTGCTTTTGTGTTACCCGCACTAGAGCTCCAAGGACAAAAATCTATCAAATTTGAGTTTCATTGTCAAGGAATGAAAAAGTGAAAAGTAATCTATTATTGTATATTGAAAAAGGACTATATTCCGGAGGATAATCTAGGATTTTTGCAAGGGGGCGTACTTTCTAAAAAAGAAATTTAGGTACACCAAAATGATTTTTCGAGCTCTCCTAACTCACTATAATGTCCCTAATTTATTGAAAATACATGTCAAAATGCCCTTTTTGGGCGTTTTTGGAAAAATTCGACCAAAAACCTGCGTTTTTTTGGCGCGCGCTCCCCTTTTAAAATAGTATATATCGGCTACAAATGGGACTTTTGAAAATTTTAATGTTGTTCGGCCGAAAATGGATGTCATAAAAAAATAACAGAGGTGGGATTCTTTCTTTGGTGATGTGGTCGAATCCCTGAGAGAGAGAGAGAGAGAGAGAGATACATAGAGAGAGAGAGAGAGAGAGAGAGAGAGAGAGAGATGTCCGACCCCCGCAACCCGCTCCCCTAAATCAAATAGCCCCTTAATATAGCGCCAATTTTTTGTAAAGCATTAAAATCTATCGCAAGTCAATTATAATAGATTTTTCTCCACTTTGCTGAGATGCCTTTCCAACACGCAAAGCCGCTTGCACGTTTTAAATTTTAAACTAAGTTGGTTACTTGTTATTCAATTTTTAAATTTTTTTTGAAAGTTTGATTCTTGCTACTTATTTTGTGTTACTCAAATCTCAATTTTGTTGCTTAATTTGCTTGGGGCGGAGAGGGGTGGGGGTTGGCTGGACAACGTTTGTATGTAGGTATAAATGTTTGCGTATGCTTGAGGGGGGGGGGGGGGGGTAAGGGACAAAGAGGCAAATATTGAGGAGGGGGATGGAAGGGGGTGATTGGTTCTGGTGGTGGTGTTGGGAATGCAATTTGGCAGTGGTAAAATACAAATGGACAATTTTTACGGGGTAAGATTTCAAAGGGGAAACAATTGGAGGAGGTTGGGAATGGAATCTTTTGCCGTTTGAGAAACTTTAATTTTACAATTTGAGTAGGCTGTGCACTCGTTCTGCAAACTTTCTGAATTACTCATTTGATTAATGCAGAAATTATTGCAAAAATTCGCACGACGCGAAACAAAAATATACTGGAAAAAACAATCAACTTTATTTGATTTCAAATGGATTCCAATTAGTTTTCGATTTGATGAAACAATGGATTATAATCGATTTTTGTACGATTTTGTTGTCGGAGGGCAACATGGGAACCGATTATTTTGTTACAATTTTAGACCAAAAAAATCCATTATAATTGTATTTTTTTCACTTTTCTTAGATGAGGGTGGCTTACTTTCAAATTTTATGCAACTTTTTAAATGCACAGATTTTATGGACTCTATTTTGACAAATGTATGACTAGCTTTTTGTCAACGCGGGTCTCAACTTTAAAAATATCTGATCAAATTCAGTGATAAAGTGTCTGATGATCAAAAACGAATAACCCAATAAAAAATTAATATGACTCAACCAATTATTTGATAAAACTTACTGAGCAGACGGCGTTGTAGCTTTTGAGCTTGAGAACATTTTGGGCCATATTATTGTCAAATCCGAGTACAAACACACTAGCATAACTCAATAGACATCCCACAATGATGATGTTATTCAGATTGGGCGAACTCATCTTGATGAACCTAAAAGCGCAGATTTATGTAAATAACTTTTAGTTTAATTAAGGTTTACTTTTTATATTTAATTTTTATTTACTTTAAGCTTTAGCATTCTAAAACTTTAGAGTGTATACATCAAGACCAGTAGCGAATACATCAAGACCAGTATACATCAAGACCAGTATTTAGGGGGAAGATGGTAGGGGGATGCAAACGCCTTCTGGAAAGGATTCATTTGCACAAAATGCTGAAAACACGTATAACACTAGCACAATTTTTTGAGCGTAGTTTAGTAGTACGACTACTCTTTGTTTTCTTACCTAAGTCAAAAAAGTTCGTGCCAATTTTTATGGAACTTTCACGGCTATTCAATAGCATGTGCTTTGACATTCAATTATTAATAAATTATCACAGTTGATGAACTTTTATTTCATCAAAAAAACCGTAAAAAGTGATTTGTTTCAAACATATAACAAAAACAAAAACTCGAATTCAGAAATTTTTTAACTCACAATATATCTCGCAATTTTTTGAAATGCATTTTAATGCATGTTGTAGCTTAATGCTTTCCAACTTATAATCTGCAAAATAAGTGTTGATGCCTTCAGTATGTTATCTTCCAAATTATCATATGCGAAATTATGTCTATTAGTATTTGATGTAGTTTTTGCTGCACTACAGTGGCTTTTTATTCCTACGTTGCTTCTTTATCTGTGTCTAGTATTTTCCTATTGTTACGCGTTCGTCGCCGCTAGACCAGGGCGTAAACTTCAAATATCGAGGTTTGCAGGTTCGAAACTTTTATGTAGCTTGTTTAGAAATTGTAATTTTTCACAAACAATTTTGACAACAAATTTTTTTTCGGTTTTGATTTTTCCCATCTTTTTTCCGCTTGATAGGTTTTGGCTTATATTAATTTGACTCAACGGCCTGATTTAGCGTCTTCCGACGAGCAAATTTTTTTTGTCTGTGCGTGTGTTTGAGAGTGAAGGGTGACTCAATAACTTTGTATTGGTCATAATTTCTTTTTTTTTTGGTTTTTAACTACTGCTTTCACCTGATGTTTCTGTTTTTGATGTTGAACACGAGGAAGGTGAGGGATAGTATCATGCCGGAAAGCGAGAGAAAGGACAGGCCGAGATAGAAAAGGAAGGTCACGTGGGTCACCACTGTCACCACTTTCGGACTGTCGTTAGGGGGCTTCCCGGCTGAAACAAAAGAAAGATAAATTGATAAAACTTGAAAGCTCTCAGTAAGGAATTTTTTTCTTAAAAAAACGCCGCAATTATTTAATTCATGCGAGTGCCAGCAAAATTTTAGAAGTAATTTTTTGTAAAACAATTCAAAATTTTTTTTTAAAAATCTTTTATTTTCCTGAGGAGTGTGTACGGACAATCAAGCTGTAGTATCTCGATTTGAAACACTCATTTTCGTTGAGCCATTAATGAACAGAGCTAATTTGAAAGTTCAAGATTTTACTCTTCAAAACGCCTGTTTTCAATGGTCATTTTCAGCAACATTTCTTTCGAAACTCAGATAATTCTTACATAGACGAAGAGCAAATGATCAGAGCTACCCTCTATGAAACTATCAATATCTGATTTTAATGAATTACCAACGTAATCCGCGTCTGAAAATGCCAGATTTCCTCATCTGCACTAAATTTTAATTCAAAATGGAATCTTTCTTGAATAAGCGGAGTAAAATGTTGTTCATGTGACGTGAAACATTCTTAGCCAGAAAATTGAAGCATCCAGTGTGACAACTTTACTCAACTCGGCTGGTTCCTATTTTTTCGCGCGAATTGGAAAACTTAGTGCAGGTGAGGAAATTTGGCGTTTACTACCAACTCGGATTACTTTGGTTGATCATTGAAATTAGATATTGATAATTTCATAGACGGTAACTCATTTGCTCTTGGTCTATGTAATACTTTTACTGAATTTCAAAGGAAATGATGTTCAAAATGGACAAAGACAACAGACATTTTGAAGCATCAAATCCTGAATTTGCCTTTAGTTTTGTCAACTAGGGCATTAAACGAAAATTTAGTGAAACCTTATTTACTCGAAAATCAGCTCTGAGCGTGACACTCTTTAACTAAACGAGTCCAACGTGAAAAAGTTTTACAAAAAAAAATTTATCAGAAAAATGAACACAAAAAAAACGATTTAAATGTGTGATAAACTACTTTTATCATCAACCAGATAATCACTATAAACAATCAAATGTTTAAAAATTACTGTTATTTTTGATCAAAAACTATTTATACTGTTCATTTGACTAAAAATGACACAATTTTTTCAGTGTAACTTTATCATTACTCTATTTTGTTATTGAAAATGATTACTGATGATTTCCATTTCACTGTTTTTGCAGCATCAAAACGATCTTAGTTACCACTGCTCATAAGCTTTGCAAAACCAGTAATAATCCAATAATTTTGAACTGCGAAAAAATTGCAGCAAAAATTGAAATAATTGTCGCTAACAGTGCACAAAAAGTCCGCGATCAACGTGGCAAACACAACCATAGAATATCTCTGGAAAATTGAAGCCCAAAAACAATCATAGCTGTGCAAAATCAAAGAACGTCAAAACTGCAACGGAAATTTCCAACCATTGAATGCAGTAGCAAGAGACGTTCAAACATTCTTACGGAAAATTTTGACACAACTTGTTCTTCCGACAAGAGCAAATTTAAAAAAAAATAGAGGAAAACTTCAAAAACCAGTCAACCAAAATAATCTGGCGGCCTTTAAGGTTTTCGATTTTAGTTAGGTCTGACATGATGCAAAAACTAGCAAATTTTGGTTAGGTGACGGCAGTTTCAGTAATGACTCTCGCAAGCTGATCCAACTGGAATGTATTCATGGCATAATTGCTGCTGTAGGACCACATTCTTTTGTACCTGGTTATTATTAAAAATCACAATGATCATGTTTTCCCGATTTCTGGGCAAGTGCTCAGAAATCGCTGCTGGCTCAGAATTTGCTGCTTGCTCAGAAATAGGTACTTGCTCAGAAATCGGGAATCCATTTTCATATGATTTATAATTTTAACTAGATATAAAGGAATGTCGTCCTGCAGCAGCAATTATGTCATGAAGAGCATCCAGTTGGTTCAACTTACTAGAGCTAATAATGATACTGCTGTTAGGTAAGCAAAAGTTTCTGGTTTCTGGAAATAAAAGAACAAAACCTAAAACAACCGAATCTAAAATTTTTCCCCATTTTTAAGTGTCGGAACAATTACTTTATTTTGTTAGCTTTCAGAACACTAGCCTCGATCGTCCACCTTCAAGATTATTTGCTGGAATTGAAAGCATTTGCCATCGAATAACCCTAAGCCAAGTTTTCTGGTTGGTTTTTTCATGTGTTGCTAACTTTTACAAACAAAAGGAGTAAAATCACGAGCTCACTTCGCCATTAAAAAGCTCGCTTCCACTTTTTCCTTCAGAATTTCAGTAATTTTGTGAAAAAAAAGCGGTTGGTCGGGCAAGGGTGAAAAACTAGAAGAGATCTGCTTTGTTTAGCACGCATAATGGAATTACCAAACTGATTCATGATGCAACAAGTGATTTTGATCAACATACGATCGGTGTCGAAGGCTGAAGTTTTGGGATCCAGCCCGTTTTTCAATAGTTTGCATACGAGCATGTTTTTTCTTGAAAAATGGCAAAACGGTTCTTCCGTACGAAACTGATCTACTTAATTGCATCTGCTTAAATTAACTTCTCAAGGAAAATTATCGCGATTTGAGCAATGAAGTTGTGAACAATAATTTTTCATACAAGAAAAAACTCAAAAATCATTTTTTTCTAGATTGACCAGCTTATCTTATATTTCGTTTTAAAATCTGTGAAAAAATAAACAGTAAGTTTGTGCCTCAAGAATTATATTTTTTTCCGGTCGATTTGGGACAATTTTAAGCGCACGACTCAAATTTGAAAAAATTGTATTCTAGCAAAATAACCCCAAGGCTGTTGTTTTTGTGACGGTTGCTAGTTTGAGGGTAAAGGCTTCTTAGCCCTATAGACATTCATTATAGTTGTCATCTATTCAAAAAATAACGATCAAATTAGTTGAAAAAAATATATGCTTCTTTGCGTTGGTGAATGATATTTCAGATCAAAAGTAAAAGATGTGTTTTTTTTGTTTTTGACATTTCTAGGCAAAATCAAATCAATTCAGATATGATTTTTTCTAGTTTCATTGACTTGGGGTCATTTTCAATTTTTTGAAATTTCCAGTCAAGAACCAGCCTAATTAGATGATTGATTTTTTCAAGTTCAAGGATTTTAATTACAGCGAAGTTCAGTAAAAATAGGCAAAGTATGAACAGACAGAATTTTTGCAGATCCACTGGTAAAATAAACAAAATTGATGCTTATTTGAGGTGAAGAAACAAGAAAAAGAGCCTCGTTCCGAGTGAATGTAAGGGAAATATATCAACTCACATTTCCAGAATGGCTCTGATATGTTTGTGTAGAAATTGTCTTGTGCAGAAAACACTCCGACAAGCTGCAATTTCGCACCTAAAATGAAGTTTGGTTAAAACATCAGTTTTAGGTCAATTATGTGCTTTTCTTAATTGGAGGATTTGCTTTGTCTGTGTCACCAAAACACTTAAAAACACTATTCTTCAAATTTGTTTCAAAAGGATTCATTTGCAATTAAAAATTTAGGGGTTATCAGTTTTTTAGATGCTGCAGTTTCGCTACTGCATGGCGAAACTAACACTCTTTCATGTCAAAACACTTTGTTTCTTACCTCTAGCAAACTGGAATATATCTAACTCTCCTTCTCTGTCATTGGACGAAACTTCTGATCCATTTCCGAAACTAAACCTTGACGTCAAGTTAATTTCTGCTAAGTTATCATCTTCTAAATGATTCAATTGAGAAGATTCAGAAGTTTGAGATTCGAGTTGTGGAGATGAACTGGATTGTTTCGAAGGCGTATTGATACAGGATGGTGCTCTGGTTCAGATAGATCGGCTGATTTCCAACCTAAAATGTTTTTAGAATGACAAGAAATTCAAACAAGAAGTTAACAACAAAAAAATCGTTAAACTTTTCCAGGGTGCAAAGATTATACTTAAAAATTTCCAGGACGAAAGCAGTTTTATGTAATTTTTGTTTCTTAGCTCGGTTAACGAATGCATGTCGTGAAATAGAACCGAAATCATAGGATTGTGATTGGACATTTCAGCAACAATTATACTATGATATTAAAAAGGAAAAATTTCTTGTCCTCCTCTAAAATCTCTAATTTACTTCGAAACAAACTCACAACCAAACTGGGATAATTCGTTAAGTCAAGTATAATGGCATTCGGAAAAAAGTTGTCATGGAAATTCATTGTTATCTCAAAACCCATAATCTACTAAGCTCACCTCTGTTTTGATGTGCACATTAATAATGAATGACCCCTCCAAAATCCGCGACAAAGAAGTTTTGGATATTTTCAGGTTAGAATCAGATCCGTCTTCAATTACTTTGCCGCTGCTGTCTGTACAGTACGTGTTTTTCAGCTCCATTGCAGAGTTCAAATTGAACCCACCGAATATCCATTGATGTCGGGATGATAAAAGATTCATTTCTCTGGCCTGAAAATGTATACATTCACTAGTTTTCCTTCATTACAAGGCGCATGTTTGTAGAAATTTAGGCGCATCACTTTTTTCTACTAAGCAGCAAGTAATTTTCAGATACAATCCCTATAACATGCACATGAATTAATTGATGTGAATTGGATTTGCCATAGGAAAAAGATTTTTTTCTTAGCAAACATAGTAGCAGAAAAATAGAGTGGGCTTACCTGGCACATAAAATCTGCCAAGAATTTCATATCGAAGAGACCAACTACGATTCTCAAGTTTTTCTCCTGAAACAATATTTTTTTATGATTAACTATTCTTGACCTTCAATCTAATGCAATTCTTCGGAATGATCATGTTCGCTTTTTATCTAATATTTTAATGGCTAAGTAGTTCACTTATTTTAACTTATTTTTATTCTTTTATAAGGAATTAGCTTTAGCATTAAATTATTTTATCAATTTTGTTGAGCGAATGTTGGTTCTAACTTACTTTAATGGCGTCGAGTATAGAAGACACTTCCTGGAATGGCTTGTAGGCAATGGGTACAAACTGGTACTTCTCAGAGACAAACAACCTCCTTAAATCGTGTTGCACCTGTGACAAAAAAAAACATTATTTACTCGTATTACAAAAAAGTAATCGCTTTTATTATGGAAATCTGAGTTCTTGAATTCTGAGTTTTTTTGGCTTTCAAAATAAAATTACAATTCTCAAAATTGGCCAAATTATCAAAAACAAGAATGTTCAAAAATATAGTATGAAAATGAATTTAATAAGCGTCTCTCAGAGAAACTAATTTTTTCCACATATATTCCAGAAAAAATTAATTGTTACAAAAACTTTTGTTAAAAACAATTTTTAATCATGGGCTTTCCTCTTACTGTTACTAACTTGCTGCTTTTACTCAAGCAGCTTTAAAGTAATACGCTTTCGTTTTAATATATTGAACGCACTTCCGAGTACACATTGTATGGGTCTGGTTGCTGACATATTATGGCCACTCTCTCCCAGTGGAACATGGCCATTAGTTGGGCCACTCCCCCCGCCAACTGGGTGAAGGAGGGGACCACTCTTCTCACTCTTGGGTACACCTCACTGTCCGAGAACTCGGGAATTTCCACTCCGTATAGCACCTATAACAGTCCGAAATCAGCATTACGAGGCCAAACTATGCGCTGGATAGGCGCAAAATTTTGGTTTCTGTATGTTCCTGGTTTCCAGAGGCAAGCCTTTGAAGAAGTTAAAAGTTTGTCGGAACGATCAAAGAGATTGAAAGAACAAAAGAAGAAAAAAAGGAGCGTCCTTGTTGCGGAATCCGCTTACGATCCACAAAATGCACAGTTTGGCCTCGTAATGATTCATTATTTTGCACTTTTTAAACCATTCTCTCCTCTCGTCAAAATCTTGAGCCCAAGTCGGCATGAATACAAGGATTTAAAAGAGTTTGCGAGCATCCAGTTTTGTAAAAATCATATCCTTTTACAAGGTTAACATCACTATGAGAGCGAAAGTTGCTAAATGGCCCGAGTCAGTTAAAGCCAGTAGCGTATCAAAAAAGTTGAGAATAGGTCAAAATTCTGGTTGGCATGTTGTGACAGAAAATCACCCGTTGTTACTATTGTACCTCACATATTTCTGACTGACCAACCATTCAAAATTCGCATTTTTTCTAAATTAAGATCACTTCGAGAAGACATTTTCCGATATTTCAAGAAGGAATTTAAACTACTGTAGAGAAACAGGTGTATCGAAAAAAAGCAATTCATTCGATCTAAACACGACAACTTAAAAATTAAAACACTGTTTATCAATGCATTTGTCATAAAACACATCCCAGTTTTTCAATTAAGCTGGACAACATTAAATTTTAGAAAAAAAACATTTTTTTGGAAATAAATAAGTTGGTCTAAAAAAATATGAATCGATTGAGCAAAATTGATCACACATTTGATACGAAATTTGAGAACAAAAAAAATACTAAAATCAAAGCTTTTTGACAGGAAAATGTTTTGTCACAAACTACTAACAAACAGCTTTTAGAGTAGAATCAATATAATTTTCGATAACCACTCATTGTATTTTATGTTCAAAGAAATTTTTTTTTATAGAATTAAAAACTTTAATTCTTCTGATTAATTTATTAGAACATTATTTAATAAAAAACCAACTGGGGCAACCTAAGATAAAAATTACAAAAATAAAGTTTCTTTTATGTTTCTTATTGAAAACTTATATCAGGAAATTAGGCTTGATAATCAAGATGTTAATCTAGATTCCGTCAATATTGTCATATAATTTTGTCTTTGAAGATTTAATCTGACCATTGCTGTGAAGCAATTTTGTATTCGGATATGTTTTGGTTATTTCTGTTTTTTTAAATTTTAAATCAGGTAAAAAAACATCGAGTTGATCAGAATAGCTCTATATTATATTGAAATTGTTTCCGTCGTGATTCGAACGACTTTCAAAAATTTTTTAGTGTCAAGAAAAACCCGTCTGAATTGTTTTTGTTGTTTGTCTAATTTCGAGCGAATAAGTGGAGCGAGCAGGTTTAAATTTTTTTTAACAACAGCTCTTACAAAAAAAAGAAGTGTTTTATCTTTTTAAACGCTTTTCACTCCTGATTCGAATGAAATTATCACTTGTTGTCTCAGTGTAAAAAAAACCGGTTGGAAATTTTTGATTTTTGTATAATTTTGAGCAAGTAAAGCAAACGAGCAGGCTTATTATAGCATTGACAAGCCATGAAACTTAAATTTTACCAAATGAACGTATAATGAACGTAAATAAATGTGTGAAGCTTTTTCGGGCCATTTATTGAATTAACGTACAACTATGAACGTAAAATGATTTTGTGAAGCTTTTTTGGGATGAAAAACCTCAAAAATCTAAATATCTGCAAAAGAAAATTATAAAAAAATGAACTTTTACACTGTTCATTCTTGTCATTTTTTTTGCAAAACCCATCCCTTAATTTGCTTATTTTACTCTGATTGACGTATATGCTTATGTTTTAGGTTTTCTCCAGATCTTTTCAACACACCATGCCCAAAAAACAACACTTATTTGAAAAAAAAACACAAAACAATTACTTTATGTACTTTTTAAAAAAATATGTTCGGAACATTCTGTGCCACTTGCTTAACAACCGGTTTTCTTTGTTCGAGTTTGTTTTACTTTTTATAACGGGTATCATTCTAGTTTATCAGAATTTATTAGGGCTCTTATTTTAAGACTCAAAAAAGGTAGCCTGCCAGAAAAAAGCGATTCACACGCCACAGTATGAAGCAAAATATAAACTAATGCTAATTGAAAAACAAAAATCTTAAACTTTTTTGGCAATGCCTTTTTCTTGCCAAATGTTGGTCCATCCAAACAATCTGGCGCTATTAATAATGTAGTCCTCAAAAAATTCGAGGTTTCAGTTAAAAGCTGGAAACCTGTCAAATTCTTTTAAAGACTTACGTAAACTCTATTTGACCTTCAGCATGTAGCTTGCCAGAAAAAAGCGATACACACGCCACAGTATGAAGCAAAATATAAACTAATGCTAATTGAAAAACAAAAGTCTTAAACTTTTTTTGCAATGCCTTTTTCTTGCCAAATATTGGTCCATCCAAACAATCTGGCGCTATAAGTAAAGTAGCCGTCAAAAAGTTCGAGGTTTCAGTTAAAAATTGGAAACCTGTCAAATTCTTTCAAAGACTTACGGAAACTCTATTTGACCTTCAGCTTATAAAGTATCTTATGTACCAATCAGGCTTCAAATAAGACGCCCGACATAATCTTAGCGAAATTTTAAAATTTAAGCCATAAATTCAATTAAGCAAAGCTGATAAAAAGTATTCTTACTTAAAAAACCCTAGAATCTCGGTTATCCCAGCTTTGAAAAAGAATAAAACGTAACACGAATTGACTATAATTGTAAAAAAAACTAAGCACCTGTACAATGATATGATAACAATTTGATATGGTTATGGCTTAATGATATAAAATCCTAAAGACGAATTGAAAAAGTCATTTAAAATTTTCCGGGACATAATAGAAGAATAAAATTAAAAATTAAAAATTTTCTATTTTGAACATATTTTTAACTATATGTTAGTAAACTCCAAAAAAAGTTGCGCTAAACTAAAAGTTTAAAAAACCTTAGAAGATCTACATTTGAGGTCTAAAGTGCTGGCTTGCTTGCCAAATGTTTTGTTTAAACTTCATTATATTTGAACTATGTTTTTTACTGTTGGTATGACTAATTTTAGTTTAAGTAATAATTGTGGTTGAATTGTATTTC